AAAAAAAAAAAAAACTTATGGTATGTGTGTGAGGGGTTAGAGAAAAACAGGAGGTGATTTTTTGGTATATGAAACACCCCTAAAAAGGGAAAGGGAGAATATAAGTAGAGACCAGAGTTATGTGCTTCACCCAGCCTCAGGGAAGGAGGAGAAACTAGCGCCTCTCTTCATTAAGTCACAAGCATAGTTATCTCGTTTAAATTTTCTCAGCCCTGAGGATGGCAGGGCCATTGCATTTTACAAATGTAAAAGAGTACCTGTTTAAGGTCAAAGGTGGGCAGGAAGCCCAGTCTAAGTGTTTCTTTGTATCATATCCATCACCAGAAGTCTTGGCCAGAGTACACTGAGAAGCTTGGTTGGAGACAACACCCAAGGGCATGGCCACAGTTCCTTACCTGCATGTCAGTTGCCTCATGAGATCGAGGCAAACAGGGTGGTAGAGTTTTTCTTCCCGGACCCTGCTCCCTCTTCAAGGTGGGATATGCCCTTCCAAGCATTCTGGCCTTTGGTCTTAGCGATATGACTTTACTCCTGTTCTAACTGCCCTCTGGGCCTCTTGGAGACAGAAACTGTGTCTTCTTTAGTATGCTCACCTGGTTCCCAGCTCAGCACTGTCTATAGGTCCATGGCAGGGAGGCTGAAGGCTGTCCTCAGTGCCCAATGAGGGAATCTTTCCCAGCACCATTTGGATCCAGCCAACAGTTATAAAGTGGCCTTTGTGCCCAGGCACCATGCCAGGTTCTTGCAGATAATTTTTATTCGTTCATTCTCACACCACCCTATGACACTGCTATGATAATTCTTAATTAACAGATAAGGAAACTAAACTGAGGTGCAGAGAGGTAAAAGGGCTTGCCTCAGGTTTGATAGTGGCTGGGTGTTAAGATTCGAGCACATCTGTCTTGTGACTCCACGTTCAGCATGCTTCCCCCTTACCAGGTTCACTGAATATCCCTCCAAGGACACGGCTCTCTATCAGAACTAGCAGGAGAAAACATGGTCTTTGCACAATGGGAACGTAAGATAAAGAAAAGAAAGTGAAATACCTAGGGATGCTTTAAAAAGCAACATTCCTGATGCTAATAAGTAAATGGCCAACTGACCAAGGCGCCGGGGAGCCAAGGGGATTCGGAGCGATCCGAAGTAAGTGAGGTTAATCAGAGGAGGCCACGTTTCCTAGAGGAGGTGGCATCGGAGCCAGCGTAGCCAGCAGGTCTGCAATGCAGAATTCGCTCACTGAAAAGCGTGCTATGCTCACTTGGAAGTGGGTGTAATTAAGTTCTTCCCTGAGCAGCTGCAGAGCATGCAGGTTGCTGGGGCTGCCACCAGTGTATTGCTAGTGCCCCCCTGTGCACAAAGGAAGAACTGAGCAGTGTGTGGGGTAAGCGGGGTGGGGGTGGAACCCCTGCCTGTGCCCTTCACCAGGAGCATGCATATCAATTCTGACTTGCTGAAACTGCTCCTCTAGTCTGAGTAGCATGTAAGTAAGCAGGGACCCCTCTCACATACCTGCTGCAGTGAGCGAGCCTCTGTCCCTGGGCACTCTGTCTGGGATCTCTCCCACAGGTGCTCCCCTCCATAGATGTGCTGTGGACAGGGCAAGCTGGAGCTTCCCTTCAAGGGGAGGAGCAGGATTTTCACTCCCTGGCTAAGCTCTGTGCAATTAGGAAGCCTGACCCAGTAGAAAGAGCCCTGGCCTAGGACCTAGAAACCATGAGCTCTGGGAGTCAATGTTTTTTGCCTAGTTATGTTTTGTTGGGCAATATGTTCTCTGGATTTCAGTTTCTCTGCCTGGAAAACAAATACTGGTTCACGTGGGGCTGGCCAGTGCATCAGTAGTCCTGTGCCTGCCTGGTTTTTCCTCAGCTTTGCAACAGAGTGGTTGGTATATTTGCTCACTTCCTCTCCCTCCTTGCTCCTCGCTCTCTCAATCCCCTTGGAATTAGTCATAAAGAATTTGGATGCTTTAGTAGGTTAGATCGTTTATATAGGTTAAAAAAAAAAAAAAAAAAAAAGGAAAGATGCTTCCTGAGGTTCCTCTGGCTGCTGACATAGATTCTATGTAAGAACAATCAGCCCCTGCCCTGAAGATGAATAGCACTTTGTTTCCTTAATTTACTTCACCTAGTCATATATGTGTGTGTACACACACACACACACACACACACACACAGTGACTATCTATGTCAAGTGAAATACTCCCCCATCTCCCTCTGAACTGGTAAGCTGGAGGAGATACTTACTTGCATTGTAAAGACTGCAATATAGAATTATATCTTTCCTGTGCTTACATCTCTGTAAAATCATGTGTTAGACAATAATTAGAGAGCAATGTTACAAATAAAGAAGTATAAGACAAGAGTTGATTTGATGGGGACTGTGAGTGTGGAAATAGGCAGCTTTAAATGTTATGGTGTTATCTATGCAAATACACATATGGACCAGAGTAGGTATTAATAGACATAAGTTTAATAGACACAGGGCACCATAAAACGGGGACAGCAGGGAGTCACTTTCATAATGGCATCTAGAAAGTCTTGATACAGATGGCATTTCAATGTCAACATTAAAAGAGAAAGTTTGCATACCCAATGAAGCAGCCTATGGAATGAAAGAAACAACAAATGGATTCATTCATTCATCCATTCATCATTCATTCATTGTTGGGAATACAAAGGGAATTGATGCACACTTCATGCCCTGAAGAAAAACACAGAGAACACAAACTCAAAAGACTGAAGAAATGTACTTTGTCAGGTGAAAACGCAAACCTGAGAAGCGTTTCGTAATTACCCATTAATGATTGCCTCCCACCTTGACAGCTCATTGTTTATAAGCAATCTGTCAGTTATGAGTACTACTATTATTAACGGTAGTATTTTCTCTGCATCTATAGAGCTTACTGGGAGAAGTGGGAGAAAGGAAAGTGAGAACATGGGGGCTGTGTATTTTAAATGGAGGCCTGAATTGGGATGGTAATTACTGGGAAACCAAGCTTTCAAGTACTTTGTGAAAACTTGAAAATACTTCCAACAAATGAATGGATCCCGAACTGTATATCTGCTATACACAGCTTGAAAACACTCCTAACAAATGCTGGATCCCAAACTGTATATACCTGCTGTGGTACATAGCCTACTTTCCCTCTCCATTCCCAGGGCAGTTAATAGAGAATGGTATGCACTGTTTGTATTTCCCTTTCTTCCTCCCAGAAGTACCAACTGCATGCCTCCCAGTGCGTTGGACTGTGCTGACACCAGCTAGATTTTACACAGCAGACCAGATGCAGGTGGGAGCTTCCCCATCCGTACCCCTCCCTGTGTGCTTGTGGTTCAGAAGCCAAGATGACACTGTGGGCAGGAGTTCTCATGGGAGGTGGTCACGTGGAGAGCTAGGCTGTAGGTGGTGGCATCTCCTTGCCATCAGAAGGTTAGGACATCCTGAGAAGAGACGGATCCCAATCCTTGGCTGCATGACAGACCCTTGACTCCAAGGAGCAGACCCCACTGGCCAAGGGAGAGACGGCCGAACCCTGCCCAGTAGGACACCATTTCTGCCTGGCTCTATTTTGCTTCCCTGGCAAGTCTGTAGGGCTGGGCACTGGCTACAAGAGCTCTTGCATTCCCAATCTCCTTCTTTCTTGGCTTCCTATTGGCTGATCCATGATGAGTTCAGCAAAAACAGAAACTAAAAAATCTAAACTTCACCCCATCACCATCATTACCACCAAAATTTCACTATTTGAAGTATTCTAGGTTTAAGTTCATACTAATAAAATAAGCCCCCTTTCCCTCTACTTTCCACCTCACTTCATAGAACATCAAGCCTTTCTATGAGAAGAGGCATACCTTATGAGAAACACTGTTGAAACCCCATGATTTTTTTTGTTTTATTTAGGTCTTCTAAAACAAGCTGCCATCATTAATATTCATTTCTCAATCTCAGTCCAACAACAGTTTCTGTAAGTAAAATGGATAATGAAATTTAGTTTCCATTTTAGTTTTAGTTTATCTTAGCAAAGAAGTTTGACAAAAATCACTTTTAAATAAGTTTTTTAAGGAATGCACTAAGGCTAAAAAAGCCCAAACCCACTACGAGGAAGCACATCACAGAAGGTCCTATATGTCCCTATGCCCCCTTTTCCTCCTCCTCCTCCTCCTTCTTCTTCTTCTTCTTTGTTCTTCTTCTTCTTTTGAGACAGGATCTCATGATGGAGTGCAGTGGCACCGTCTTAGCTCACTGCAGCTTTTAACTCCTGGGCTCAAGTGATCCTCCTGCCTCAGCCTCCAGAGTAGTCAGGAACACAGGGGTGTTCGTTTTTAATTTTTTGTAGAGATGGGGTCTCACTATGTTGCCTAGGCTGGTCTTGAATTCCTGACCCCAAGTAATCCTCCTGCCTTGGTCTCCCAAAGTGCTGGGATTACAAGTGTAAGCCACACCACCTGGCTTCATTCCATTTTCTAAACATTTTCTATTAAAATTGAACATTTGAAAAATGGGATGTGGGGCAGAGCTAGGGAAACAAAGGGTTAAGTACCCTCTTCTTCTTCTTCTTCTTCAACAGTGAGCTCTGGGGATGAGAAGAACCCTGGTCAATAGACAGATATATTGACTTGTTATTATTTAAAGTTGTTTAACCAGGTAGAGATAAACGAAAGCTTTCAGCAGCTGAACTATCACACAAATCACAATTAAGGTGGCATATGTGTTTGGAAGACGTAAAATCAATTCCTGCGAAGATAATGTTTTAGTCTCTATTTGAACTTGAAAACAGAAGTAAATTCTCAGCAGCAACAGCTGGTCTTGTTCCATCCAGGAGGCTCTCTATTAACTGTACAAGAAGGGCCTTTATTACCTCTTCTAATGGTTTTGTCTTCATCAAAAAAGCCCAGTTGATTGCCGTGGTGCTGTTTACTGATGTGGCACAGAGGATGGCAGCTGGGCGCCCAACCATCCCGGTGTTTGGACCTCCCTCCTCTCTGAGTGCTGTTTATTGTTTCTGGAGGGAGAACAATGGACCCTGGGAACAACTGGTCTGGCTGGGTAGGGGAGGGAGGGGAATTTGCCATCTTTCTCAGCTTTCCTCCCCCAGGTATCCTTCCCTGAGCTCCATGGGGTGAGGAAGTGTGTGTTTAGGCAAAGGAGGGTGTTTGAGCATTTCAAGTAGTCTTTGCAATGTAATCACCCCCCAAAATTTCTACCAGTGGGATGTGACCTCTAAAGCCTACTCACCCGTTCAGGTTTTAGTCATGCAAATTTGTGTGTGCATGCACGTGCATGTGTTGTCTTCCCAATTCTAGCCTATACTCCCAGAGGCAGGGATCACATTTTATGCACTCCAGTCTTTACCAGGCTGAGTGTGGTGCTGGCGTACCACCCAGCCTGGTAAAGAATGCTGTGCATAAAATGGAGTGCTGATTCAACCAGGATGTGGCTTAGATGCCGTGGACTGGGAGATCAAGCGATACTCCAGCTTCAGCCTCCCAAGTAGCTGGGACTGCAGGTGTGCACCACTACGCCCGGCTAATTTTTGATTTTTAGTAAAGACGGGTTTCACCATGTTGGCCAGGCTAGCCTTGAACTCTTGACCTCAAATGATCCACCCGCCTCGGCCTCCCAAACTGGCGGGATTACAGGTGTGAGCCACTGTGCTTGACCTTGTGCAGTCTTTCTTAGATGGGGTACAAGGGTGCAGTATAAGCTGGTGGGAACTAGGTCAGTTTTCCCTTTTGGGGTCACAGGGCTTGCTGGGGAAGAGGAAATGTACACTGACGAAGTGGAAACTTGACTACACAAGAGCAGGAGGGAGGCTGCTAGGACAGAGGTTCTTGCTTGGAAACAGAGGCTGCTCAGGAGAGGAAAGGTTATGAGGAACAGATGAGCAGCCAGGGAACCTGGATAGTGACTCTCACCTGCCTCTAACTAGGTGTCAGACTAGGGCAAGGCATTGGGCTCTGTGTCACAGGTGTTTTGCCTGAAAAATAGGCGCAGTAAAACCCAAGCTTCTTACAAACTCAACTAGTTATGAAAATACAGGATTAGTATCACCATTCCAGAGGAAACAAGCAAACAAACAAACAAAGCATTATTAAAAGAAATTGCTTTTCTGCTCAGGCCAATTCCTCTCAGACAGAATAAATAGACAAATATCATCGATCCTCCCTCCTCAATATCTTTCATATCTGTATGATCCCTCTCAGCCTTGGCCACCTCCTCCGTCAGATGCTCATAACCACAAACAAGGACCACCTGGAGCTTGCCCACCTCCCCTTCCCTGCCTGCTGGACCTGACTTTCCCCTGTCGCTCTATCCAGTACATCTCTACAAGTCCTCAGCTCAAAGAACCATTTTGATGATGTTGTTCCTCAGTTTGAAAGCCATGGATTTGTTCATTCAGTGGATACCGAGTCCCTCCCTGTGCCAGGCCCCCCCTGTGCCAGATATTGAGAAAATAGACATACAAACTACTTCCTGCTATTGTGCTCATTGTCATGGAGGGTGACAAGAAAAATGAGACAGATGGAGAGGTAGAGAGATAAAGAGATGGGTGGGTAGATATTTTTAAGTAGACATATATATTTACATTTATAATCCATATAAATGGAGTTATATTTAACAGAATTGAGTCAATATTTTACAGTCCGTAATCTCTCTTCCCAGGCTGTGATTTTTGTCAGCCTCTGTTGTTTTGTCCCAACTAAAAAAAAAAAAAAAAAAAGCAAGCAAAGGTTCCTTCTTACTCATATGATACTCCTTTGTGAACTTTGATTCTAAAATTAAGTCTTTTATCTCTTCAGTTCTTTTTAGGATTGTAAGATTCTTTTCTGTCTGTTGCTTCCCTGAGGCTCTGAGACCCGTCCATGGGTTAGGGTCAGTCTCAGGTGAGCCTATACTCCCAGTGGCTCATTCCCCAGTGGGAAGGTGGACAGGGTCAGTGCTGAACAGCACAGCCATTTCCTGCACCTGGCCTTTGAGTCCAGCCAGGAGGTTGCCTAGAAAGTTGATGTTGTTTTCTTTCAAGATACAGGACTCCCTGCCCTCCTTTATTCCAAGAGATGGAAACTCTCTTTTCCTCCAAGAGACAGACACCCTCCTCACTTTGTGAACTTTCTGGAAGCTCACAAATAAGGCAGTCATGCACGAGCCTGAAGTGACTTCCTCTTGTGTTCAGTAAAGATATCCCAGTGTGTTTTGGAACACGGGGCGAACCCTGAAGCACAGAGACAACCTGGTGTGTAACTGGAAAGGGCGTGCAGTTGGAAATTGGATGGACTTGCCTTGGAACCTCAGCCTTGCTAGTCTTCCACAGTTGGCCTCGGAGCTTCGTTGTGAGTAACACATTGTTCCCAAGGTTGCTTTGAATAATATATGAGTTAGGACACTTGAAAGTCTGAACTTGTCACATGATTTCCATAAATACACATATGTTAACAGCTTTCCATCCTTGCTCAGCTCCCGCAGTGGCCTCTGCTCCCTGCGCACGCATCTCTATTGTCCTAAATGGCTGTACAGGAACAGGAGCAGGTCTGCAGAGAGAGAAGATTCACCTGCAGACTCCCCGTGCACTACAACAAACGGCTTTACAAGACAGGATTCTTCGCCTGCATGGCGCCTTTCCCTGCTTGTCTCACTCTCTTCCTTAGCAGCTTCAACTTTCTTAAGGTAAGAAATAATTAAGAGGAGGAACGGGGTAGGTTGAAAAGTGTTGAAGCTGCCCACGGAACAGAGGAGAGAACAGGAAAGAGCGAGGCAGGGACAATGGGAAGTTTTGAGAGGAACTCAACAAGAAATTCACATCAAAGTGGAAACATTCCAGCAAGCAGACTGGCTCAGCACTGGGGCCACCATCACACAAGGTGGGAAATAGGAAACAGAGAGAAATTGCAAATGGGCTGTCCACACTACCATGGCACTGAACTGAACCTCTGCATGCCTCAAGAAGAATTGGCAGCTTTATATCTGAGGACCTCCCGTGCATCCTTGTATGGTCTAGCTGACTCCGCTAGGCAGTGACTATTTCTCTAATAAGCTGATTCCCCCGAGACCTTTAGTGACAAAGAGACAGAAACTGAAGTGGTTTGGTCTTGTAACCAGAGCAACTGTCCCTGCAAATCCACCACATAGGAAACAAGATCGAGAGCAAAAGAGACAGGCTTCATGGGCAGAGCCAGCCTGCCTGCGTTCTCAGGTGCTTTCTGGGAAAGGGTCTGGTCAGTAGAGAACTTACAGGCCTCCTCTGCATTTGTAGCTGGTTCACTTGTACTCAAATGTCTTCAGAGAAAGGGAGAAAGGGAATTGGATATAATTAAGCATTTAGAAGATGGGTACCTTGCTAGGCACCCTGCATGTTTTTTTTTAATGAGATCGCAATCATACATCTGAGAATGTGATACTTAATTGAAAGGAGCCCTTGCATGATGCCTTCTAGACAGTCATAAGTGGTAGGTGTGGGGTGGCTTGGAAGAGGCAGAAGACTGTGAAGAGGGTGAGGAAAGAAGTTAACTGACTGTCTACCACTGCATGCCAAGCATCTACAGGCAAGAAGCTGTGCAGGGATTTTCCTATCACTCCATCTCTTACACACCTCACAGCAATGTCATGGGGTAGTTCATTCTCAGCTCTACTTGGCTGAAGTAGATGAGTAGACTGAAACTGTAAGAGATTATTTCATAAGTTCATAGGAACACAATCCATACATGGCAGAATCAGGACTTCAATTCAGTTCTCCCTGACCAGAAAGACCCTGCTGTCTTGCCTCCTGAGCAACACATACAGATAGACCCAGATTCACAAGACTCTGTACTGGATGTGAACTGACAGGGCCACCTGGGTGCAGCCAGACACTGTGGCTTCCTGCTGAGATTCAGCTTCCTCTAGTTTTAGGACAGTCTCTCTGGGATCATTAAAAAAAAATATGAACAAGCTTAATGTATACCTCTATTCTTAAGTCATTCAAATGAAATGCATCACTCTTAATCAGAGGTAGGCTCTCTGATGAGGTTTAAAATCCTTTCTGGAATTTGTTAGCAAGCAAGTGAGCATCAAACTATGTGATGAAAATACGAAAGGACTTGCATTGTGATAATATTACAGGCAAATTTGGAAAAAAAATCTACCTTCATTCACACACTCTCAGTGGTCAGCCCTTCCCACAGAACCCAGTGAATGATGGCTTGGCCCTTTGTGTGAGGCCTGGGAAGCGCCAAATTTCATCCAGGCAGTGGGACAGCTGTGCCAGTTCCCCCCTTCTCCATTTAAAGCATCTGTTACTTCTTTACTGCCTAATCAGAGAACCGCTTTCTAATCTTCTATCACAACAAGCAGTAAAAAAACAGTACCTTTTTAAGATAAAATCAAGATACAGAGGAAATGGAGGATGATAAATGAATTGCAGATGGATGATCCAAGGAGCTAGAGTTCCACTGGAATTAAAGTGGGAGGCAGAGAAAGGAAATCAGGCATCCCTTGTGCATGGCAGTGGATATAATTAGATGACTTAGGAAAATGCTGATGGTGCTCAAACATCTCCACCTGTAGATTCTACAGATACTTAAAACTGGACCTGTCAAAAACTGGATAGAACCTCAC